ACTGGCTTCCCGAATCCTGCATCAGTTGTTTACTGGATTTCTGTAAAGGAACTTAGCTTAAGTTACCATTATAAGGAGACGCTATTATTTACCATCTACGCATAATAGGGCAACTGGCTTCAAATTCCTCGACAGTAACTTTCCATTGTGCCCCCGCAAGGCTTCGCACAAGCTCTGACATGATAGGGAGGGAGGAGTGCTCTGCAAGGTCTATATAGCACACTAAACATCCTGGCCAAACCTTAGATCCAAAACCCTCAACCTTAAAGCCTGAACCTGTAAGCCGAATTCCTAAAGCTTGAACCCAGAACCCTCACCTCCTATGTCCTAAAGCTTAATTCCATAACCCTAAACCCTAATTCCTAAAGCTTGAACCCATAACCCTACGTAAATGCTAAACCCTAAACTCCTAAACCTCTAACCATCACCTCGATACCCTGCCCGCCTGCGTGCATTCGGCCGTTTTTCTGTGGACCAGGCCAAAAGGCCTCCCATCCAACCAGTCGGTTTAGGGCTTAGGGCTTAGGGTTTAGGGCTTAGGGTTAAGGGTTTAGGTTTTTGGGGCACGCGATGGGCCTCCCATCCGATCAGTTTTGACACGCCAAGCGTCAAAGACTTTAAGTTTGTACCCTTAATGTTTGTAACCCTAGGTTGGGGGTCCAATTAAATACCCTTATCAAGGCCTATACTTCATGGTTTAGGGACCCAAACCCAAGGGTACAAACCCCAAGGGTGCAAAGGAAAGCTCCCTGAAAGAGTCGGTAGGGTACTTACTGTGTAATACAGGATAATGGAAAGAACCTGGAAACAAGGGCTTATAGGGTTTAGGGTGATTAGGGAATAAGGAAAATGCATTATATAAGGATATTGTTCCCGTACTCCCTCCTAAGCCACTAAATGTGTCCACTATTCTCCCTTCTACGGGCCGTCAGAGAATGGGAGCCGAATCTCATGTGGGGGCTTCCCTAAATAGCGGTCGCTCCGGGATCATATGGATTACAGGCAGATTGAAGGCCTCGTGCTCAAGGCTTCTACAGTGACTGTACCCAGTCACTACCAAGGTTGTTCCAGGATTTCTAATGGTACAGTCTCAGGAGTTCAAGGCTTCAGTACAGCGCAATAAGCATATGGATCATGGACAAAAGCTTTGATAACTAATTAGTGTATTGGTAGCCATACCAGTCGTGAGTCTTTTAGCGAATCAAATAAGAATGCAGGTGGCATCAATCCTCAGACCGGTCCAAATGTGATTCGCTCTTCCAAAACTCTAAACCCTCACCCCCAAGCCTGAAGCCCCCCCACCCAGTAACAGTCTATATTAGGGGTCCTCTTAAGGGCTATATATAACCATATTATGATTATTATCCAACTGTTACTGAGGGGGGCAGTACCCAACTTAAACCCAAAGCATAAACCCGAAAAGCCAAAATTGAATCTCAACTCTGCACCATCAGATAGCCCGAACAACTTGATCTGCACCGGCATTTGATAATTCAGTATTCTTGTTCGACTTTGCTAAGCAAAATGATTCAGTACAGCTTCTTTCAGAACACCTTCAACTCTAGGTTAGAAGTATAGGCCCTTGGGCCTTTCAGGGGGGATTCTAGAGACCACTAAGTGTACATATTAGGGTACATAGTTAGGTAGATGAGGATGCCGAAGATAAGGGCTCGTACGTGGCCCAGGGTTTCAACCTGACATAAACTCTAAATCCTAAACCCTCAAGCCTAAACCCCAAGGCGAGGAGCTGGAAACGGAACCGGTGGAGAGTTGCCGCTCGAGCGCCATGCCCCTAGAGCAAGAGGCATTTCTTTCAGTCGGAAACCAGTAGGGTTAGGGTTTAGGGTTTGGGGTTTTCAGGACAGGTTCAGGTTCTTAGCCCCTACCCCCCTGCTGTTCCAACCCCCCCGATCCCACTGATCATGAAGTTTTCCCCGCTGTATCATATTATGGCGGATTTAATCGTGATCGGATGGGAAAAATGAGCTACATCATGCATTTGATGCTACTTCTAAAAAATCCAGAGTCACCTTTTGTAAGCCTTTCAGTTCCCCCCCAAACCCTGAACCCTGACCCTAAGCCCACGTATGCAAAAGTCCATGCTTTTTCATGTCGAGCCCCCTTCTGGGAATGAGCTCATCTGCGAGAGAGGAGACTCCCCCAATCAGCCTGAAATCTAAGCCCTGAACCTCAACACCCTCAACTCCATATTTCCATATACCTGAGGACTTAACGGACATGGGTTCCTTATAAAGATATTAGGGACTACACTAAACTACAAAAGGGACCCCTATATGTCTGCCTGTAATGGTTCCTCGGTAACCCTTATACTTCTAGTGACAGAAGCTCTTTTGACACAAAGGTCGCCCAAACCAGCTGCAACCTAAACTCTAAGCCCTAAACCCTAAACCCTAAAACAGCTGCAACCGGGATGCTTGTCACGGACCTGCTGGAGAGGTAGCAGCCTTGTCAGCAGGGCCACTTCAATAATATTCACTGGCGTAGGAGGCTTGGGGTTTAGGATATGGATGCTTGTCAAAATTGTGGTCCCTTTTTGGTTCCTTATTCTAATACGGCACCTAATATTTACTTAATATTTAGGGTACCCCAAAAGGGACCATAACTTTGACAACCACCCATATCGGTCTTGGGGTTAGGATTTAGGCCTTGGGGTTTCGGATTTAGCCAACCCCGAGCCCTGGGCGCAGCCAAGGCCAATTCGGACCAGGGGAAAATGCAACTTCTCGGATGCCCCTTGCAGGAATACCCGTTGCGCTTGGAAGGGCTTCGGGTTTTGGATCTTAGGGTTCGAGGATTTAGGATTTAGGGCTTAGGGTTTGGGGTCAAGGATGTAGGTTTTGGGATTTTGGGGTTTATGGGGTTTGGGGCTTGTGAGCTTAGGGTTCAGGGTAGCGGGTCATAATACTCTGAATAGTGAACAATCAAATGGAAAGTCGTATGAAACCGACGCGGAAGCTAATGAAGAATCACTGGGAAACTTGCTGGAGTATGGCATCTGGATTCCATGTAAGGAATTCTCAGATCATGTAGATTGTAGCAATGTGTAATTGCACAACCAAAAGGAAAGCATGAATTTACTCGATGTCGGGGGCTCACAGTTCAGCGCCACAAAGCTCACTCCTCCAGCACCCTAACACAAATGCTTAGTATCATTTCTGTTCTTGCAATTTTCTTTGTGCAGTAAGGTCAGGGTTGTGATGTTAGGTACCGCCAGAACTGATTGTTCGCGTCTTTGCCGCAGTTACTGATACGCGGGTATATGGAGGTGGTCTTGGGGTGGAGTCAGGGGTGGTACCAGGGGTGGAGGGGTGGTGGTTGGGCAGGGGGGGGTGTGGTGGCGAGGGCTGGAAGGCTGGAGGTGGAGGTGGAGGGGTGAAGGGGTGGAGGGGTGGTATGTTGTTGTTGATGGTCGAGATGCTGATGCCCGTGCTGCTGGTGATGATGCTCAGCTGGCGATGCCGTGGATGATGACAATGTTGGTCGTCATCATCACCATCATCATCATCATCTAGGTGCCCCAGTAACCCCGTTAGTAATGAGGGTACCCTTTTTCCTACTATTCAGCTTTAATAAGGAGACCCCCAAATAAAAAGGGCAAAAGGGTACTACTGGAGTACCTAGTCATCATATGTCACCATCATCAGCATCATCATCATCATCATCATCATCTTGAACAAGGTGACTGTTATCATCGTTCCTGCTTTGGGGTGTACGTTTCGGGGTTTTGGCTCATGATCATCCTCTAACACTGTCAGTCTTACAGCTTCGCCCCTCAACAAATGAAACCCTAAACCCTAAACACTACACTCTAAACCCTAAACCCCAAACCCTAAACCCTAAGTCCTAAACTCTAAACCCTAATCCAATGCCGCGACACTTTGAGCATCCAAACTAATCACTAATTCAAGACTCCACTGCCCGAACACCTTTGGCCCCTGATGTGCAAGCACCAAACTTAATCACATGTAGGGTGCTTCAATATCATTCTTACAAATATTTTTAGATTGTACTGCGTCATGCTATTATATCAGCCATTACTATTGCTATAATTATTAGTATTTCGATAAGCATTCTAACCACCATCATGATGACGACAACGACGGCAAGGACGACCGCTACTAGAAGCAGTATTACCATTACTGTTATCACTATTACTATGATTTATTCCCGTGGGACTCTCCCAACCGGGAACCTGAACCTCAAAAGAGGCCCTGCAGCATCTAAAACACAAACAGAGACAACCCTGGAATCCTTCGAAATGCATCCACGTGGGATTTCACGTCTGCCTCAACCCTGAACCCTAAACCCTACACCCAAACCCCAAGCCCTAACCAACTCAAAGCCCCTGTGTGGTTGAGGCTCCCGCTTCCTCTCCACGCGACTGGACGCATCTCCCAGGGAGATCTGCCGAGATCGATGCGTGGAGTTTAGGGTTTAGGGTTCTAACACGGACGGTGTTTGAGAAAAAAACGCTCATCGGCTTCGATCATGACCCCCATGACGCCTGAACATAACAAATTCGCTGTAAGGAATCCTCTGCGCACTACTACTAGAAACAAAGGAAGCTACGATATCTGGAAAACCTTGTGGCCCTTCTGATTGCCCCCCCCTGAAGAGCTGAGCCTCCCGCCCCCTTAGGAAATCGAACTCCAAGACGTACTCTATGAAGGGAGATGGTGGGTGGTTCTGGTATGCACTAAACTATCACTACGACCTTCCCGGCTGTGGCAAGTGGGTTCAGGAGGACACGAACCGACTCCCTTGCCAGGGCACTCCTAAAATCATATATGAAACGGTTAAGGAATCAGGAGAACCTAATTTATGCACATGGGAAACTTTCTACAAAGCAAAACGCCCTGGGACTTTGCAGGGCAAATTAGTGCCCTGCCAAGGGCTGAAAAAGGCCCCGGTTTCAGCATTCTAAGCATCTCGAAAAGAGAACTCATAGGGTTAGGGATCAGGTTTTGTTGTCCAGGTTCTCTGCCATGTTTGAGCCCAAGTGTCCTGGGGGGGAGGGGGAGCTGAGAGGGGGCTGGGTGTGGAGTAGAGGGGGTATCCCAAAGCCACACCAGCTTCCAAAGTTCCACCAAGGGTCTTGTCAGCAGAACGAAGCAATCTTGCCGGCTTGAACTGCCTAAAATGATGTTCGAACTTGCATATGGAAGTTTCCCAAAATTAGGGGACCCCAATTTAGACCCCAATATAGAATAGTCCATATTATGGGGACCCCCAAAAATGGTACCCCTAATTTGGGGAATCTCCCATATGTTTGCGCCGCCTGAAGCCAACATTGACCTCAGTTTGTGGGTCATTGTGTTTTTGCTGGTCGCACGTCGCAACCCTCGACCTTGACTATCTATGGGGATGGCTGCCCGCCTCCTTTGAGGATCCATGGGCCATTTCACTCGATACAGACCCATCATAGTCGCATACGCACGTGCCGGCCGCTGTACAACTTGCGCGTTGTCTCGCACATCTGTTGGAGCAGATGAGATGCCATGCCCACGTTTCGTAGACATGGCAAGCACTGTGTGTCCCGCCATTGATGCTATCTTTCTGATCAAGATGCACAACGAGGTTTCAACAAATGCAAATTCAATAGGCCTCTTCGTGGATTGGATGACACAGTGGGCCTCTTCAGCATGGTGGATGTTCAGGAGTAGTCATAAAGGGGGGTTCGCAGCTCTTATAATGAATTTCGGACACCTGAGTGAGTTACTCCCAGCTTCTCGGGAGTCACCGTCGCTGCGGTGTCCAACCAACACTGAAGGAAAATTTCACCACTGCAAATCCTGACACATAAACGAGGCAAAGCAAGAAGCAGGTTCTTGTTTTTTTAAATCCACTCCTCCCCAACCGTCAACGCGACAGTGACGATGAAGATTACGACGACTTCTCCGACCACCACAAGTGATGCTACAACGACCTGTGCGATCACAACGCACAGCATCAAATCAATGGCAAGTGCAAAAACCGGACACCTGAAGAACGGCACCTAAGCCTGTTAAAGCCCTGAGCGCTAAATCAAAACTCGGAACCCTAAACACTACATCCTATTCCCTGTAGTCTCCTTAGACCTAAAAAACAATAATATTCTAAATATTTCCTGTGGGTTATACTATAATACAAATTCACATTAATTCCCAAGGACAGTACAGTTCCCCTGAACCCTGACAACACATGAAAGGCTGCCAAACCCCATAGTCCCCCTTAAGTAGATAGAATATGGGTGTATGGGGATCTTATCATAATATAACCAAAGCCACATTCTATCTACTCAAGGGGGACTATAGACTCGTGTCGGGTGGGGGGTCCTTATAGGAATTGTTGTTGGAGCAGGTTTTAATGGCTTTTACCCTAGACCCTACCCCCTAGACCCGAGTGATGGCTTTCACTGTCTCAAAGGTGCGTGCCTGAGCAGAACCAGGGTGAGTCTGTGCCTGAATGGCGCGGAGGCCTTAGACACGGATTTCAGGCATTGGTGCTTTCAGGGTTTGGGGCTAGGGGTGAGGGATTGGGGTTTGATGTTACTCTAAACCCAAAACCCCTAAACCCCTAAACCGTGTTTTAGGGCTCAGAGTGTGGTGCCCCTCCTTGGGCCCAGGACTGTGGATATAGAATGCCAGTCGACCTTTGCAAGATATCGCATGATGGAAGTCGTCATAATTCCGTACCCCGTAACAATTAGCCCGGCACCACCCTTAGCAATATTTCAGGGGGTGGGATTTCTTATTAGAGGTGTGGCGTGGACTCTTTTTTTTGGCGGGGGGGAGGGGGGGGGGCAAGAGGATTGGCATGTCTTCATTCTTCCTTGGCTACAACTGTCAGTGCAATCTTATTGTTCTGTGCAATGTTGCGATTAAAGATTCCATTCTTCTTGCCGTCGAATTCAAACACATAATATATCTTGTAGACCCATTCCTCATATTTGTTCCAACAGTCTTCGCGACTGTCGGTGTTGGTGATGTTGCTGCCTTTTCTAGGTCTGATTCAAAACACCCGCCAATATTCAGACCCCTATACTTGCTGGGGCTTACAGGGGAGGGGGGGAAAGAATGGAGGTATTTCTTTAGGGAGTGTATAGGGAGCAGGATAGGAATCCGCTTCCCCTTAAACACCAGTAGGCATTTGAGGTATAGTAATTATTGTCCCGATAATACTCCCCTATATAATCCCCCCTTAAGGAGCCTAGACCACAGCTCATATGCACGCACCGAGACCACCATGAGAGCCATGCCTCGCGAAAAGAAAAAAAACCTTCCGACTGCCAGCCAAAGAGCACACTTCCATCGGCAGGAAGGTGCTTCTCAAAATCATAGGTCACTTTTTGGACTCTTTTTGTGGCAGCTATGTGGGGAGTCTCTCTGAGAAATGGGAGGAAATGTACTGGGCTGCTATAAAAGGAACTTAAGCTAAGTTACCGTAATATGGCTATATTGTAAATGACGGGGTTTCCTTGTTATAGAAACTCAGCTTAAATTCCTTAAACCTAAATCCCTAAACCCTGAACCCTAAATCCCTAATGGAAGGGAGTCTGGAGCTCCGGCCATCGATGACGGGCCGAAAGTCATGACACCCACCAGTAGTCGGACTCCTGCGATACCACGAGTTTGGGGGTTGCCCAGCATTAGGGGTTTAGGGTTTAGCCTCATTGTGGGTCTCCGTTCTAGTATTTTGGGGTCTATATTGGGGTCCCATACTTTGGAAAACTGCTTCAGCTTCAGGGTCTAGGGTACGTAGGCATCTTACAACACACCAGTGTTATCTCCAATAGCGACAACTAAAAACTATAGGACATTTCCTGGTTGTATCTTGGGTTTTCCCTACCTATGAAATTTGTCCTCTTAAAGTGAAGTGGCTTGCCAATGGACCAAGCATTTAACTACGTGGAGGACACCATCGGAGGTACGTACCTGCTCGAAATGGTAGCTGCGGGGTTTAAACCCTAAACCCGTGAACTCTAAAGCTTGGTTTAGGAGTTTGTCAAACCCCTTATAGTGCTGAACGAGAATCTCGATCAAACTTCCCCAAAAAGGGTGCGGAGAGGCCCTAAACATTGCTGTGAAGGAAGTTAAAGCAAGTTCCAGTCGGTGTTTCCTACATTTTTAAATGGACATGGGTTCCTCATCCTAGTTGCTGGGTTCCCTGGCCCCCAAAAGGTTAACCTTTGTAATATAATCGGACTCTATATATATATATACCCCAAAATAAAGGTTACCTACCCAGCGACTAAGTTACTAAGAAAGCTATTCGGGACTACATAAAATTACAAGCGGGGTCCCTACGTCCACTGTTCAGGGTCCCTTAACAAGAATAATATTAAATACTGGAGTTTCCATATGAGCTATGGTCTAAACTCCTAGTATCCCTTTAATAACCCCTATAGTAATTCCCTATATAATCCCCTATATATCCCTCTTCAAGGAGCTTAGACTATAGTTCATATTATAGTAACTTACTTGAAGTTCATTAACAGCAGCCCAGGTTGTTTGCATCTGGAGTCTGTGGAGACTCGCCGCACCAATTTGACTTCCCAGACATGCACTAAACCCTATACCCTGGACCCAAGGTTTAGGGCTTAGGGTTTAGGATAGGGTGTAGGGTTTAGGGTGTAGGGTTTAGGGTGTAGGGTTTAGGGTTTCAGCCATAGTCAAGTCTGAATCCGGAGTCCTCCCTTGACTTTGACAGACCCTGGCAAGCTGAGTGTCACTAGGGGAATAGACAACTGACTTTTGGTGGCCCAAAAGGGGAGGGCATTGAATATGGACCCCAATGTACCATCATTCTCATTTTGGGGCCGTTAAAAAGGGCCCTCTAATTGAATTGCTACCCTTTGGTTGCTAGTCATGATGTGCAAAAGCCGAGTTTCCCATTAGTATAGAGGAGAAGGGTTTAGATTTGATTTGGAGGAGCTACGTATGTTCTGGGTAACCGACCATCTGGCACAAGGTCGAAGATAGTTGAAACTTGCACAGCTTCACTGGCGTAAGGATCAGACTGCCACCTCAATATCCATCAAACGCGAGGCCCATCCCATCATCAGCGACGCCTTTTATGTACGCTAGGTCCTCATTCCAGCAAGCGAGCGTTATTGCATGGAAGGAATCAGCTCCGCCTGTATAATGGCCCCCTCCACCCCCCTGAAACAATACACATATCCTATGATACATGCTGGCCTTCTTTTTTCGGGGGGGGGTGGGGGGGGGTTATTAGGGTGAGAGGAGTACAGCAAGCAAAGAAGGAGCCCGGGCGGGGCTCATTTCTCGGAGACCCGTTAGCCAAGACCAAGTGTGCACTGCTCTCATGTGAGCTTTAGTCTAAAGTCTAAACTCCTTAAAGGGTTATATAAGGGAATATATAGACGGGAGTACTATAGAGGTTTCGAGGGGATACTGGGGGAGTTTAGACTTTAGCTCAGTCACCGAAAGCGAACCCTTCAGAAGGGACCCTCGGAAGGCAGCCTGCAATTTCTTCTTGTTGCTTCAGGGGGAGCTATACGTATAAATTTCTTGTGAGGATTCCACCCTAAACCCTAAACCCCCAAACCCTAAACCTCAAACCCCTAAACCCAATGGCCCAATACCCTAAACCCCTAAACCCTAAACCCTAAACCCCTAAACCCTAAACCCCTAAACCCTAAACCATTCTTGTAAGGATCAACTCCCCAGCTCTCCCTCAAGCTTCCATAAGGTTAAGGCATTCACAACAAGCCCTACCCCAGACCCCTTAAAGGGTCCAAGAGTTGATCCTTACAATAATGGTTTAGGGGTTTAGGGTTTAGGGGTTTAGGGGTTTAGGGTTTACGCGTGTAGGTTTTAGGGGTTTAGGGGTTTAGGCTTAAGGGGTGTAGGGTTTAGGGTTTCGGGTGGAATCCTCAAAAGATTTTTGTTTACCCTAGTTTCCCCAATGTAGTAATGGGTTCATTTTGGGGGGGTTCCATTTGTTTGATCCTTTAAGGGGTCTGGGACTCGATCTTGTCATGATGGACCAAGGAGGCCATGGTCAAAGGTCGTTCTACAAACCCCCTAAACCCAGACCTTTAGGGTTTAGGGTTTAGGGTTTAGGCTTTAGGCTTAAACCCTAAACCTTCAACCGTGAATTCACTTAACACCCACATGCCCGAAGAAGGGCTGGCGAAGTCTAATCGACTCACGCTTTAAACAAAGCTTCATGAGGCGAGTTTATCAACATTTTGCTCCTACCTTGCGACCACAGAGACATGCGGATTCTGGGATCTCCAGCGGGGGTATACATATACCCCAAGCCCCCACGCTAAGCCCTACATAAACCCTATCTTGAGAACCAGCGAAGTGGCTGCAAGTCTCCTGCAGGCACCAAGCTTCCATGTTGCACCTGGCAATGGCAACTCACTGAACCCTAGACCCTAAATCCAAACCCCTGAAAGGATCTGAAATATGCTGATGCCACTCCAGGGTTCCTAGAGGTTACCCGAAGGGTTTAGGGTTTTAGTGTTTTGGGGTTTAGGGTTTTAGGCCTTGAAGGTCCTGGGGTTTCGAGTACATATTGGGAGTTCTACTTATACTTTCAAGATCTGCCCAGCGGTCCGGGGTCACGTGTCAGATGCCGACGTAAAAGCAATCGGAATCAACGTCTTTAGGGTTCGTGTAGCAGCTTGTCAAAACTATTGTCCTTTTTCGGGCCCCTTGTATGATCAGGGCCCCAATATTTGGGGGGACTCAAAGAAAGGCAACGCCCTAAACCCTAAAACCCTAAACCAACATTTTGATGAACTACAACATGAGGATCATATTAGCACCACATTGTCTTTGGGATGTACTACGCTGGAACTCCGGACGGAAGAAATTTCAGCAACACAAACACAGCCCTGAAGAGAGAATGGTCACAAACATACAATGCGCATTTCTTGAACGCAGGGTCGGCCTAGTTACGCCTCTTCCGGTACCATATCTTTTGAGGGACGCCCGCGGCGGGACTGCTAAGGAGTTCTTGGAAAATCCTACGCCCTAAGCTGTGTGCAGTGCTCTAAATCGTACATCCAAATGATTAGCGTTGTTTTGGTGGTTGCACCTAGTAAGATCATATTCTTTAAGTTAAATACTATACCCAAAGGGAGGATATAATCTTATTCTTTATTGAGTATCATACCCCCAACAATACGACCCAGATGATGGGAATCCCCTGAAATAGCATGTTCACCCTTCTGCCGATGAAGGCCTTGCTTGAAGAGACGGCAGAAAACCACGCCCGGAGACCTCAGAGTATGTGAGCTGTAGCCTAAACTCCTTAAAGAGGGGCTTTACGGGATTATATGGGGGAGTATTACAGGGGTTAGTAAGGGGATACTAGGAGTTTAAACTACATATGGCTCATATCTAGCAAGAGTGGTCGGGGTGCTGGGTAGTACCGGCAATCACCTCCTCAAAAAGCCATAAACGCGACCTTCAACTAAGTGCGCACTCGAGATATGTATGCACATAAGTCTACACACATCTGCTATGAAGTGTGTATACATTTAGAGTGCGGTCGGAAGGCGTGGCCAGACCGACCCGGTTTTTTGCCTGCGCCACGTGCGCCACCTGCGCCAGCTGCACCACCCGCGTCAGCTGCCCCATCTACCTGCGCCAATGCGCCACCTGC